CCTTCTTCTTTCTTCAGTAGCACAAAAATACACTCTCAAGCTTAATAAGGCTCACGTAATGGATTAGGGTTTGCAAGAGACGATTTGGGAGGATAGAGGCTGAAGGTTAGGGGGTCTCAAGGAATAAGTTCATTTAAATAAGGCCCAAACCCTAAAAATTAGGGTTTGGGAACCATGTGAGTATGCCCAGTGTACTTAAGGATGGCTACGTCTTTTTTATGATGTACACCCAGCATACATGATATGTACGCTCAACGTACAGTCCAATTCTCATTTCCCTCTTAACTTCTAATGGGCATAACTTCTTCGTCCCAACTCCGTTTTCAGAGTTCCTAATATGCACAGTAAGGTATTGAAAATACCGACTATCCTATCTAATTGATTTTGACTTACAAAAAACCGATTTAACACCTTAACCCTTGCAAGAAATGAGATCTATAAATTTTCCCTTTCAACCCTTTGGTCCAACACACAAATCAAAGGGTTTGGGCTTTGCAAACAACATTATCAACCTTTAATAAGGTCTAAATATTTCTTCTCTCAAAGCCCAAAGCCTTATGATAATCGAACTTCGGATCACGAACCCGAATTAAGAAACGACCCGAAACACGGTGTTACAGTTTTACAATCACTTCCTGTCCTGAGCCAAACATGTTACTTTATGCTATGTGCCAATACATAGTCTTTTATACAAGTGACACGAGCCAAATCATGGTCTTTCATACAAGTCTCATGGGCCAAATCATGATCTTTCATGTAGGCCACAATGACAAATAACATATCCTGACACTTAGTGTCCTATGTTATAGTGAGAAGACACATCTAAGCTGCTCAACAACAACCTCAGTAACAAAAACAACTAACACAAGCTTCGTAAAGCCAAACCAAAACTAATCCTTATCTAAACACTCAATTCTACCAAAGTTTGACCAAAAGTCAAAACGATAAAAAAAAAGTAAACAGTCAACCCACCGTGCGCATAACTAACCCCATGAATGCACTGTGACAACAAGGTGACAAAATAGACATGACTGAAACACATCATGGCGTCGTGACCAACTACTCACCACGTCTTGGTGAGCATTTAAAGCAACTTAATGGATTAAGAACTTAACCCTTAACCTCTAAAGCTCAAAAGCTCAGATTTGATTCTTCTAAAGGTCTTAATGGATAAAGGTTCCTACTTTATCCATTAGTACATCACAGTAATCCAAGATCTAAAACCTGAAGTCCAAAAATCTCACAAAAGGTCATAACTTGTGTATGAACTCAAAGTAAACCCCATTTCTTCATTCACTAGGGTAGATAAGCTAAATATATAACCTATAAGTTCTGGAGTTCATCAAACTCCAAGAACATAAAGGTTTTGGGACCAAAACATCATTTCATGGACTAAAACTCTTAATACTTCAAGATCTAAAGACAAAATACCAAAAATCAAGGAACTTTATGGCTTACAAAGGTCTAAAAAGTGAATAAGGGGTGAGATCTTCTAGAACCAAGATTCATGACAAATATTGCAAGAAAGATTCACACAAAACCATCAAAAACCAACCAAGAAGTGTGAGAGGGGATATGAGATGCTCAAACTACGAAGGAAGAGGCTAAGGTTTGCTCCTAAGGTGCTCTTGATGTGATGGAGGCTGTAAAATAACCTAAAACATGGAGGCAGGGGCTTTAAATACGGGGTAAACTCTAATTTTATGGGCTTCGGCTATACAGCTCATTGTGTCATGGTAACCTTCTTACAATGTTGTGGCGACGCTTTTTCTCACATTCCATTCCAACTTCAGACAATCATAACTTTTTCATTTTAGACTCATTTTCAGTGATCTTTAAATGCACGCAAAGGTATTAACATGCCCCATAATTTCTATCCAGTTACTTTTGACTCAATGCATACAAAACTTAATTCATTAATACATGCAAAAAGTTCAAACTAACACTTTTTCCCCATTTTACCCCTTTTGGCTCTAAAACACAAATCAGGGGCTTAGATCAATTAACCTATTATATCAACATCGAATAAGGTCCAAACTTTATCCTTTGAAGCTCGAGACCTTTACTTGATTAAATTATGTCCGTTACCCCGAAATAAAAAACATCATGAAATTGAATGTTACAAATCTTATGTTACTCTATTTGAAATAATATTTCACATTTATTTTGTTTTTTGTATCAATAGAATGCCATTATATTCTCTTTAATAACTATTTTTTGTTGTTAAAATATTTAATATGTATGGGACGTATTGTGCATAGTTTTATTTCAAGTTCTTTTCAAATTAATCTAAAAGACTATATAGAACCATCCATTGTTGGGTGTTTAAACTTGTTTGGACTACTTATTTATTAAGGGATCTCTAATTAATTTCTCCCCAATGAATGAGTTTGCTACGTGACAGCAACCCAATTTTCCTCATCAAAACCTAATTACTCACATACTAGGAAAACACAACGATACTGGCTATCATTATGTGCAGAAATTTATGTCATCTCGCAAGCTATCTACACAGTTTGTACCGTCTTACCTTCAACATTCTGAAATTTTCACAAAAAGTTTATGAGAACCGTTATTCGAGTTCTTTCGAGACATGCTTCTAGTTGGTCCTAACCCCACAATTTGTTTGAGGGTGAAGGGGGTTAATAGGCATGCTTCACGTGATCTCTCATGTGACACATATCGTTAGTAAAGACTGTTATTGTATCCAACATTGGTGCGATACAGTTTTATAAGTTACTATATATGTTGGAGCTCTACTTCTCTCCACAAAAATGCTCTTTTTGCAAGACAAACTTGGGATTCACATATAACATGGTATCGGAGCTAGGGTCCTGCACCCCCGTGGCTCAGCACATCCTTCTATATCTTCATCAAACTTCTGATTTTGAAAGGAAGTGTTAGTGTATCCTACATCTATATGATAAGATCTTATAAGTGATTATATTTGTTTGAGTTTTCCTTCTCTCCACAAGGATTTTTTCGAAAAAACATTCTTGGGCTCTACATATATTTATAAAAATCAATATTAATTAGACACACATATATATATATATATATATATATATATATATATATATATATATATATATATATATATATATATATATATATATATATGATGTCACGGTGTGTAATATCTCTATATCATTTTCTCATAATAAATATATATTTTTATAATTTTTTTTAGAATTACAAACATACACTATAACCTTTTAATAGTAAAATTGCCCATATATAATAGTGCAAAACTAAAATACTGAAGTAGTAATCATATAGTAGTAAAATTACATAAATGGAGTAGTCATCATATAATAGTAAAATTACATAAATGGTCCATATCCATTTTATAAGGAATAATATTTTTATTAGTTTATTCGATCAAAACAACTTTTTGCACATATATAATTAATAATTTACCACTGAAAAGGACAAGATTAAATCATCGTTAAAGGCTACTCACATAAATACCACAATATGAAGTGTGATTACACGAAATGATCACATATTAAGAAAAAAAACCACTAATTTTATAATATTAGCTTTTGTAAAACTAACTTTTTTAGAATATTTTCTACGAAATGATATTTTTTGGAGTAAATTACACGAACGGTCCCTGTGGTTTGGGGTAATTTGCACGTTTGATCCCTAACTTATTTTTTTAATTCGGAAAATCCTTGTTGTTTGTTTTTGTTTCGCGCTTGGTCCCTATTGTTTGTTTTTGTTACACGATTGGTCCCTGTCTTATCTAAAAAGACTATTATTTAAATAGGAAAAAATTATGAGATAGGTAAGGTAAGGTAAGGGGGGTTGGGGTTGTAGTGTGTTTATTTAAATATTTTAAAAAACCAATGACAAAATAGTTTTTTTAGGTAAGATAGGGACCAAACCTGTAACAAAAACAAACAGTAGGAACCTTCCGAGTTAAAAAAATAAGTTAGGGACCAAACATGCAAATTACCTTAAACCATAGGGACCATTCGTGTAATTTACTCTATTTTTTGTATAATGACATTTTACGAAACGGTGAATTTCTTGCTAAATGTTCAAATGTTAATATAAAACGCATCCTATTTTATTATTTTTAAATTAACGCTAGATTAAATAGTTAATGACATAACCCCATGACATCAGGAGTATATAAGTTGAAAAGTTATATTGACAAAGTTCTAATAAATCTATTTAAAAAAATTAATGGCTGATTACGTCGTAATAACAACGTATGTGTGGATTACGTAATGAAGCAGCACAAGCTCACACATTCGTTACCTCACTTACATGACTTAATCAAAATCAAACGCACAATAAACATAATTATTCATTAATTAGTTGAAAATCAGTCCCCCCGGCATCGTTTGTATTACTAATTGAAAATTAGTGGTCCTTAATCATCTTCATCACTCTTTGTATATTTTATTACACCCAATCATACTAAAGCGAGTGAATAAAAAAGTTATATATGTTTGTCCTTATAAGAATATAATTAGAATATGAAATACTAGTCTCAATTTAGATCCATCCTTACGTATTTATACATCAGGTTATTCTCTGCCATCTATTGATTGTAGAGGGACTGAAAGTGTTGCTCCCAAAAATGGTGGCCCATCAATTCTTATTGGTCGGGATTAACCATTGAATCCAGTCTTTTTCTGAGGCTTTCGCTTTCTATATAGAGTATACTGTATATATATTCACAGCTACATTCATATATGCAGCATATCTCTTATATATATATATATAAGAAGATGCACAAAGACAAATCTTTCTATAGCCAGAAAGCGAATCGGTGCTTCCAAATTCCAATAACCACGTTCCTATTTCCCCATTTCTTTACAAATTCAAAGAAAACCAGAAGACTTTTCTTTCTGCTTCTTGTACCTCAGCCTATATATATATATACCCACCTCAACCTATTAGATTCGACACTATTTTGGACCACAAATTGCTTTACAAATTCCAATTTCAGGTACCTTTTAACCTTTTCAGTCCTTTTCAAATCGATGAAGCCTTTTCGTGCACCTATAAATGCGACAGGAGCCTCTTTAATCACCTACAGATCAACAAAACCATCAAGAATGAATCATGGCGGCGGTGGTGCTAAAGATCATGGTAAGGAGGGTGGTGGTGGTGGAGGAGATGAGGTCAGGTACAGGGGTGTCAGGCGTCGTCCATGGGGGAAGTATGCGGCGGAGATCCGTGATCCTAACAAGCAAGGTGTTAGGGTCTGGCTGGGGACTTTTGCCACGGCGGAGGAGGCGGCCAGAGCTTATGATCGAGCAGCTTTCGATATGAGGGGTCACATGGCAGTTCTGAACTTTCCGGCGGAATACCCTCCGACATTTTCTGCTGCTGCTTACAGTGCTTCCACCAGGGCTGCCACCTCTTCGTCGTCCAACAGAGAAGTAATTGAATTTGAATGCTTGGATGATAATGTGTTAGAGGATCTTCTTGATTATGACACTGCCAAAAACAAGAAGTGAAAATTTGTAAGCCTGGGATCATATAATTAAATAAATAACACATAGTTTTTTTCAAACAAAAACTGTTGCATGGATCTTTTCTTGCAGAAATATGAGTGTGGATTGAAAGTGTTCTGATTAACAAAGTAAAATAAATGCATATATAATGTGCGATATTAAGTATTTCCAAAATAAATATTGCTCTTATTTTCATAAGAAATGGAGCAATAGACGGTGTGCACTGTGGCCCAGTGGTTTGTACTTGTTCGACTTATAGAAGTCAACGCTCAAAGATATGGATATGGAAGTTTGACTATTTTCTCGAGTCTACTAAGAATTGACTTTTTTGCATACTATCGCTTCTTAATTATGTTTCTTGCGGTTTATTATTTTACATATTTTGAAAATAGATATTGGGTTTTCCTTTTGGTACAAACTTTTGGACTGATTACAAAAATAGTGGTACAACCTTTGGGTCTGATTTCAAAGGGGAAGTCTGTAAATATTTTGCTTTATACCTTGTCCATTTTAGTCTCAGTCTTTATAAAATCTTGTCTCATGTGCCGGATGTAACTTTTAAGACACATTTGACCCAACTTAATGCTAAATCGCACATAGACAATCCACATCAAATTCTCATCCTTGGACCTTCTTTATGGAATACTTCATCTCAACCGTTAGACTCCTATTACAGGAAAATGGACCCAGCTAATTCAAGTGTTTGTTAGTTTAATTAATTCATTAGTCACATTTATTTTCCACCTTCCTAAAGCTAATGACCCTCTATCCCTTTATGATTGATTATAGGTCTATCAGTCCCATTGGGTGCTTATACAAAACTGTGCCTAAAATTTTAATATCTCACCTAAAAAATATTATTGGTTTGGTTATTAGCAAGGAGCAATCAAGATACATTGAACATTAAAGCATTCTTGGCAGTCATATTATTGTTAATGATGTGTTCAATTAGGTTAAAATAAGTAGGAATAAAGTCATGTTTTTCATATCATACTTTAATAAGGTTTTCAACTCCTTAAAATAGAGCCCTCTTGACTGAATTAATGGGAAAATAAAGGTTTTGATTGAAGTGGAGTAAATGGATTATGAGACGACAAAAATCGGGCCAATCTTTAGTTTTAGTTAATGTGCCTCACGGAATCAATCTCCTTCGACATGGTCATACCATTTCATATGTACAAGATACTAACAAGGTTATTTTATTGGGCAAGTGATCTCTTAGTAATTTAATGAGTTTCATTAGACTTTTTAGGTGCTTCCAACTTTCCTACAGACTAAAAGTTAACTTTCTAAAAGAAGAGATTTTGGCATTCTAACACCGTAAATTTTCAAACAAATTTTTTTATTCTAAAATCACATAATTCTCATTAACACATTTCACAAAAACCCCAAAGTATCAAATTATCTAAACCAATGCGAGAAATAAAGTAATGTGAGACAGAAGCTAAGTCGATGAGCCTGTTAGGACAATATCATCCACATATAGTAACAGATATGCCACGTGAGTACCATCTCGATAAATAAATAAAGAGGAGTCACATCTACTGTGAACAAAACCAATGCGAGAAATAAAGGTGGCAAACCGTTGAAACCATGCACGCGGTGCTTGCTTGAGACCATATAAGGACCGCTGAAGCAGATAAACATAGTCAGGACGAGAAGAATCACATAAACCCGGAGGCTGATGCATATAGACTGTTTCTTGAAGATTACCATGTAGGAACGCATTTTTAACATCAAGTTGTCGAATAGGCCAATACTAAGAACTATACGGATGGTAGCAGGCTTGACCACCAGACTAAAAGTCTCGTCACAATCAATACCAGGTCGTTGACTACGACCATTAGCTACAATATGCGCTTTATAGTGTGATAAGGAGCCATCTGCATTGAGTTTCTTCTTGAATAACCAAATACAATTAACAATGTTGGCATCAGGTGGTCTTGGAACAAGTACCCAAGTCTAATTAGAGATAAGTGCAATATATTCATCTGTCATGGCATTAAGCCAATTTGGATCCTTAAAAGCCTGTAAATAATTTTTGGGAATAGGAGAGGAGGTACCGACATGTAAATTTAATTTACGAATGGGTTTGAAAATACCCTGATTGCTGCGAGTTACCATTGGGTGTGAAGGAGGGGGTATAAGAGATGGATTGTTATTGGAGATGGTAGATGACTGTGAGGTGGGTTCCAAAGGAGGAGAGGTAGGTGGTGAAGAAGGACCAGGTGTAGGGTTTGCATGAGGAATGGTTGAGGGCGAGAGAGGAGTGTGAGGAGTGGGAGTAGTACTAACATTCTCAGTTGATAGATTCTGAGGATGAGAAAGGTATGGAGTTAAGGTAGTAGATAGAGGATGGGAAGATGAAGGATCCTCCAAAAAAAGTGTAAGCAGGGTGTGGTCATGATACTTCGTGTTCCCGACGATGAATTCAAACGAAGAAGGTGATTTGTGGTTGGTTTTTTTGGCCGTTGAATTGCTATTTTGCCTATTTCTTTTTTCTTTTTTCAAACTCAATTCAATAACATAAATAAACCTTCTAATTTCACCAAAACTTACACCTCATTTTAACCTTCATTCTCTAAAACCACAAAGCACATATACATGGATTCCACAAAACATATGGAATTTATAAAAGCTTTTGACTCGGATGATGACGTAGAATTCGTCGAGACATTCTTCAACGTTGTGCAGCACATTCACGACGAATAAAGTTTGAATGTTGCTCGTACAAGGGCGGTCGTCAATCGTGATAGGCCAAGCCACACACGACTTATTGGTACGTGATTACTTTGCCGATAATTGTCTTTATAATGACGACTCGTTCGAACGTCGTTTCCGTCTGAATAAGGCTATATTTTTACGTATTAGTAATGCTTTCGAATCTCTTTATGATTTTTTTCAAACAAAAACCCGACGCTAAAGGAAGAATGGGTTTTAGTAGTATACAAAAATGTGTAGCTACTCTTAGGCATTTGGGATACGGTATAGCATTTGATGCATCTGATGAATACTTGAAAGTATCCGAGAGGACCACAATTGAATGTGTAGATTGGTTTTCTGCATGTGTTTATGAGGTTTTTCACGAAGAATATTTGTGCAACCCTACTCATCGCGATATTGAGAGAGTATATTTGGCTCATGCAGAGAGGCATAGATTTTCGGGTATGCTTGGCAGTCTAGATTGTACGCATGTGGTTTGAGAAAAATGTCCAAATGCATGGCGTGGTTAGTTTACTCGAGGAGATATAGGTGAACAAACTATCATCCTAGAAGCTGTTGCATCTCAAGATTTGTGGATATTGCATGTCTTTTTTAGAGTAGCGGGGTCTAACAACGACCTTAATATTCTTGGCCAGTCACCACTTTTCAATGATATTTGGATCGGTAAAGCACCTGATATGACGTTCATGGTGAACGGGCACGCGTACAAATACAATTACTACCTTGGTAATGGGATATACCCGGATTATTCTACATTGATGAAGGCATACTCGGTTCCTCGAAGTGAAAAAGCAAAGTTGTTTACAAAAAAAGAGGAATCGGCGAGAAAGAATATCGAGAGGGTATTTGGAGTCCTTAAGCAGACATGACATGTAGTGAAATATGCTATACGACTCTGGGATAAAGAAAGAATTAAACGAATGATCGTAGCATGTATTATAACGTGTAATATAATTATTGAAGATGAAGGTCGAATGATTTGCACGTATGATCCGAACGACGTTATCGTTCCAATTGACGAGTTCGTACTCGGAACAAACGCGTTTTTAGAGCGAGTTGTTGAAATTCATAATAGCAAAACGTGTTTCAATCTTCGAGAAGATGTCGCGGAACATTTGTACCAACGTAGCATGAATGACAATTAGGTTTTTTATATGTATTTTTGTTTGTTTTTTTTTAGTTAATGTATTGCTTTTTTTTTCTAGATTAACTAAGTAATGTAGTTTGAAGTTGTAATTTTATTTTTATAATTAATGAAAACCTAGTTTAAAAAATGAATGTTTTTTAATTATAATAAATGTGATTTTATTGTATTTTTGAATTAAAAAAAAGAAATTAAATATTCTCTTACTTTTTGTTCCTACAAATCCTCATTCCCAATTAAATAATAACATATGTAATATTTAATACTCATTTAATGAAATTTTAGTATACAAATATAACACATATCATCATTTAATTTGGTATGAAGATTTGTAACAACAAAAATAAGAGGATATTTAATTTCGTTTAAAAAAATAAAAATAATGATGTAGAGTAGTGTTAGTGGTAGGTATCCAATATTAGTGGTAAGGGAATGTAATGCTGATGTAACACTCACCATATATGTAGTATGTGCTGCGTATGACGTATGACCTTATATTGAGAATGAACATATGAAAATTTGACATTTTTAAGAATGTCAAAGCGCTTAGATTTATTCCATAATAAAATCCAATATAATAATAATAAATGTTAGTTGTTGATTAGGTAAGTAATTAACGCATGTGACGTACGAGATGACTTAAGAATGTATGATATCATGTTTCGTGCATCATGCCTATGAATGCTCAGCCATTGTCATTCTTTCTAATCCAACGTAATTAATAATTTAACCACTGGCATAATCTTCCTGATTAAATAATATTACCTTAATTTAAAAATAAAAGGACAAATTAAAAATAAGATATTATGAAACATTGACGTGAGCAACATGATGGAATACCAATAACATATCAATTAAATTTAAAGGTTTTTAATGATACATACATACAACACTCATAAATTTATGACCGTATTAAAATTTATAATTAAATAATTATATACATAAAGTGTAACTATGACATTCTAACATATATGGACAAAAAAAAATCAACATAGATACCTTAATTACTCAGGAACCATGTTTTGAAAACCGGACCGAACCGGCCGGTTCGACCGGTTCAACCGGAAACCGGTCCTGGATCCGGTTCTTAAAGGCTAAAAAACCGGTATTCGTGTGAACCGGTGAAAACCAGTGA